TTCCACTACTGGGTCAGGACTGGAAAACGGAGATGAGCACAACTTCAATGTTTATTTGAGCAGAAAATCTCGCTTACTTTTTTAAAGGTTATGGTTAGTAATTGGTTAAGGTAAAAATTAGGTTGGTGTTAGGTTTGGGGCCAGGGGTTAGGTTACGGTCAGGTTATAGCATAAGTAAAGGTTATATTAGTTTGCCATTAGGTTCAGGTAAGTTCGAGTTCAGGTTCGAGTTAGGTTGATGCCATTGATCGTGTCGGGGTCAGGGGGCTTATGGATTGTTTTGTCCTCATTCACCATCGCCGCTGCCGTCGTCGTCATGTCAATGTCTCTCCACTGCTAGATGAAGGCCTCTCTACACTGTTGCCATCTCTCATGGTACATAAGAGATATGCTGACGGCTCGCGTTGTAAGCGACTTGACAGCAAGCGATAACAAGTGACTTGTGCAGTGTAATAGCGTCGGCTGGTGCCCAGCAGCGGCAACTGCGGTGGACAAGCAGTACACACGCCGGTGAGCATATACACGGCTGTGTGTCGGCGGGGCGGAGGAACTGGGGCAAGGGTCAAGGAAGACCCCATCTGGAAGCCCCTGGAACCTGCTAGTGGGTTCGAGAAGGAAGGCACGGCCAGAGCGGAGCCAGGCCGCGGAGGGTAACATAAACGGAGCTGAGAGCGGGAGCTCAGGGCTGCCGGTTCTGGGAGTGGACTCGTCTCGTCGTGGCTGTCGTCTCGCTGCCTTCGTCGCTAGATACTGCGCGGCCGGAGAGTTGTTGGCTGTCTCGGCCAGCGCCGTCAGTGTTACATGGTCAGGATTGTCGGTCAGCACCATCAGTGTTACACGGTCAGGGTTGTGTTTAGGCTAAGCTAGACGACCAAGGAGAGTGTATGGGCAAACCTGTGAAGTGTGAAGGTGTTGAATAAAGAAGGTGCCTCCTGGAAACCCTTGTTTCCGAATCGCTGACACGACACGTGTAGTGAGTTCAACGGAGTCGCAAACGTACTCTTTGGAGGCAACACATTTATTAATACCAACACACGGGGTAACTGCCCCTTAACAAGATAACAACCTATGGTGCTGGACCACTAGGCTAACTACACTAATTACACCATAACTAGCTACAACAGACCGGACCCCAGCTTGGGTCCCAGTCCACTTGTTGGTGACTCTTGTAGAACGTAGAACATAGAACGTAGGTTTCTTCAGGATGAACAACAGCAGCCGGTCCCTCTTGGGGACCCGGCTTATATCCTCTGTGGCGTCGCTGACCCCGCTCTTAGCCACGACCACCTTCTAGAATCCTCGAGCAGGATATCGACCCTGACACGTGACCACCCCTAGCCCCCACTTGGGGACCCTGTGTAGACTCAACTGGTCATGTGTCCACTGGGGTCAACCAGAGTGTCACTACATCGCACGCTGTGCCTTGCTAGGGCCGGCATTACACAGTGACATCCGCGATGTCACTACACACGTATAAAAATTATCAACATTTGCAGCCAAATGACAATTATAATGAATGAACAATGATCAGCATTAAGCCAAATGCAAATCTTAAGTAATATTGTTTTGCATAACACGAATCTCTCTTGAGATACGTTGGAATGAAGATTGCAGAGAGGGCATCTGAGAGTGCAGGCATATCGTTTGTAAAGGTCCAAGAGGACACTGGCCTATACTAAACCACGAAGCCAAACTATGATTTTCATTCAAATGCACGTGCACTTTGTTTAGCTTTGCGAAAGCCAGAGCAGCCTGCCTCCAGTGGTGCGCTGTCGGTGCTCATCATAGCACAGCGACACGAGCTACGTGCCAGGTTTCCTGGCACGCCGGTGACGTAACGCAATGCCATCAGCAGTAGCCCGGGATGCAGCGGCGCTATGAGCAAAGACAACCGTGGCCTTCCGTGCCCGGGCGAGGCGTCTCCCTGCTCAAATGAGCAATCAAGCGGCCCGTCCTTGGCTTCCTCATGTGGCTGATGTTGATGTCGAGCAGCAGCTGTAATTTTACATCAAGGCGGTCGAGCCAAATGATTGCTTAAGAAGTAGTGGAGTGGTGCATCACCACTGTGATGGTGGTGATGATGCCATCTCCCCTGTGTTTACGAATCGTTACACGTCCCGTGGTTCTGCTCTGGGTGGCGACCAGAGTCTCCGCACACTATCCGGGAGTTTTTAACGCTCCATTTGCGCACCATCATCAAGTATCCACATTTCTATGGTAGGGCCCAGTCTTCCTCGAGGACAAGCACTGTTGGCTTCTGACAGAGTGCACTTGTTTTATGAAATGGGAGGGCTGATGGGATGCCTTGACGCCATGTCACAGCGGGGGGCTGTGAAACGGCGACTCTACACTCAACATAAATCGCCCCACGGTACGAGTAGCCGACGCTCTCCAAAGCTGCCGTGGTCATAGTAAACAGAGCAGCCAGAATCGCACCGCCACAGAAAATAAACACGCAATGACAAAAAGAAATTCATAGAATTTCGACACGATGCTTCAATTCAGCGTGCACGCATGTGTACATGCTGCATCATCAACACGCTCACTCCAAATGCACGCGACAATGCACGAAACAATAGGGCTATCCACACGGGAAAACTTACAACGCATGACATCTGCCGATTTTGTTAGATTCTCCACCGTATAGCAAAACACAACATAACTTGGATTATAAAACATGTGGTTTAGTGTCGATCTACTATCGATAACATTCAGTGTGATGTAAATATTAATTGATCAAAACCTATAATTTACGCTCAAGATACATTGTGTAGGATTGTAGATTTAAGAACATATCTTTTTCACAATTTGTTTAAGGTTTGTCTTATTTCTATCAACACATGTATGGAGTAAAGAGAGAATGTATCTATGGATCTACATGCACCCCAAGCGGAAAAATGTGCCTTCATAACAAAATGTTTGTGACCCTCAATCACAGGAACTCTTCACACCATGCAAGGGCTGAGTCACTGTGTGTCTCGCTGGCACGCCGAGTCACTATCCGTCCGGCGGAACAAAGTCTGTCGGACTAAACGGAACGCATGCCCGCACACCGCAACGTAAACCGGCGCATTTGCCTACTGTGCCGCGCGCATTCGTGATGGAGCACAACAATCGGACAACGCTCCTTTCAGACATAACCACAACAACGCATCTCTACGCAATGAACTCTTCTCTGTGACTTAAACTGGAAGTGGCCAGCAAGACCAGCCTAGCTGCAACTAATGCTCCGATTTCTCCTTCCGAATACTAATTCCAATCCCGGACCCGCTCTCCCAGATCTTAGGAGGGCCAGATAAACCTCCACTTTCTGGCCTAATGCAGTAAGCGTTCTCCACAGGAATGTGTGAGGTCAACCGCGTGACCCCTGTGTGTGTGTGTGCGTGTCGCTGCGTTAGACGCTATCGGTCCACCGAAAACAATCCTGGAGTGCCCAATAGAACACTGACAAACGCTTCCACAAACACACGGCAGTTACAAAGCAAACTACCACAATACGGAAAGTGATTGGATAAACATCAATAACAATATTTACACTTTTGGTGGAAGGCTGACTAATGTACTCCTCCACTAGACAAGTGTGACAACGGGAGAGGGACGGCAGGGCCGATGCAATTATAAATGTGGAAGAATCTCCGTGAACTCAGCAGTCGCTGATAATTACATCAATTTAAAACACCCACTCTGCACACGCAGCAAAGTCTGCGAAACGCGTGCACGACCTCGCATCGCCGAGAGAACGTGGCCTCAACTTTGATGAATCCAGAGCAGTGCTGCTGGCGAAGCTTCAGAATGCAAATTGGCTCAAGTTCACTCTTCTTCTCCCTCGCAGCACAACGACGGGATCACGTGTGAGATGTACAGCCTGAACACCTTTCAACGCTACAACATAGGGCCATAACAGAAGCCCTCTGTGGCTCTACATTTACCACGTGTGGCAATGTGAACCACTCACGCTTTGCCCCTCAGCCACTCTCAGCCGTGAACTCCAGTCCTTTTTACTGCCTGCCATACGCAGGTCTTCCATACTGCAGTTTTCCTGCATCCTGAGTCTTCAAATTCAATCCCCCAGCTGTGATCTCAACCCCAATCCTCACGCTCGCAGCTCTCTGCATCCGTCACTCTCTTGTTTATCTCTCAACGACTGCCGCCCTGGCAACTTAAGAGCCACCAATATTTTTCCTCTTTTATTGAGAGGACACAAACAGCAATGTTCTGTTTTGTTATCTTCAATCACAATCTTCCAACCCCCGTGTGGTCTTGCCCGCTACTAACGTCCCTGGTTTACTACAAACTCTCGCGACCGCCCCGTCCACAGCTCTCCCCACAATATCAGCCTCCTGCCTCCACGGAAATCAAAATTTAACAAAAAATTGTCAATTTGCCTCCTTCCCATATATGTCTCTTCATATAAAAATGTAGCATTTTTTACACATCACAGCAGCAACACAGCCTTCTGGCAATATACAATTTCAGCAGCATTGGTTCAGAACAAGCAAACTTTGGACTGGTTTCGACATTGTGTGTCAGCAGCTGGTAAACTGCCAAGATGTTCATGGGCAAGGGGCCTCTGTTAGATACGGGTCCTAGTTGTACTCTGTGATGGACAACGTCACCGTTAGTGTCGTGTTGAATGTTGCTGAGATATCGCACTCTCAGAAGGCCGTGCGCCTGCTGGGAGGCGTAAATAACACCTTTATCCTTCATGTGGGGGGAAAGGTATGTGAAGGGAATGTTTATTTATCTTGTTATAATCTCCGCAAGGACCCTAGTGATATTTTGTACGGAAAAACCGGACGGATGGGGCTGCATGTCAGTACAGCATTGATTCCCAGTAAGACGGCAGCTGCAGAGTGATTTGACTATCTGCTGCTGATGATGATAATTCGCCCTGCCTGGGCGAATGTGATTTTTTTTTAAAAATGTGAATGACATCAACACATACATGACCATCCTGGCGAGCACCACGACATCTGTTGATGTCGACACGAGGTGGAAACGAACCACTACAGATGCCTCCTGCAGCAGCCGGCCTCGCGAGTTCACGGGGAAGTCTCCCCGCAAGGTGCGGCTGCCGCTGGTCGGCACACAGCGAGGGGCCAGGTGAACGCTGCTGCTGCTGCTGCTCACACCTCGCTCTGCCACTGCATTCATTGACACTACACTCCCTGTTCCGCGCGATAAAATCTATTTCTGAATATATATATTTTTTTACCAAATAACACCGCACGCGATGTGACGGGATAAATCCAGCGATGCGCATGGCATTACTATCCCCACGATGCCTCTAAGTGTAATGACAGCCAAGATATAACGGGGTGCTTCGTGACCAAGTGTTGTAATCCGCTTAATGATCATTCGTCCATCTCTACAGATCTGACGTCAAACCACGGAGGATGCGGACGCCTCGCGTACAAGTGGGGAAGCCTCTCTCTCTCCGTCTGCTGCTGTGTGTTGTTGTGTGTGTGTGTTGTTGTGTGTGTGTTGTTATGTGTGTTGCTGTGTCTTGCTGCTGTGTGTGTGTGTTGTTATGTGTGTGTTGTTATGTGTGTGTTGTTATGTGTGTTGCTGTGTCTTGCTGTCTTGCTGCTACTGTGTCTTGCTGCTGTGTGTGTGCAGAGCAGCAGGGCCCCACACAGCAGCACAGCACACAGCAGCAGTACACCACACAGCATCACACCACACAGCAGCAGCAGGGCCCCACACAGCAGCAGCACACATCAGCAGCACACCACACAGCATCACACCACACAGCAGCAGCAGGGCCCCACACAGCAGCAGCACAGCACACATCAGCAGCACACCACACAGCATCACACCACACAGCAGCAGCAGGGCCCCACACAGCAGCACACCACACACAGCAGCACACAGCAGCAGCACGGTGAGCACTGGAAGAGTCGTGTGAAGGTGTGTACATGTGGAGCGTGTGTGTGTGTGCTGCTGTGTGTGTGTTAGTGATCTGTACTGAGCCGTGTTCTGGTCTGCTCCATGTGTGCTGCGTGTGTTATGGAGTACGTGACACGCATGTGCGGGCTGCATGGACACGGCGTGTGTGTGCACACTGTACACGGCGTGTGTGTACATTGTACACGGCGTGTGTGTGTGTACACTGTACACGGCGTGTGTGTGTGCACACTGTACACGGCGTGTGTGTGTGCACACGCCGTGTACAGTGGACGTATGCGCAGGGTGTGCGTGTAGATGGGCGTGGGTGTATGAGACGAGGGTACACGGGTGTGGTAGTAGTGGTGGTACCCGTGTGTGGTGGTAGTGGTGGTACCCGTTGTAGTAGTGGTGGTGGTACCTGTGTGTAGTAGTGGTGGTGGTCCCGTGTGTAGTAGTGGTGGTGGTCCCGTGTGTAGTAGTGGTGGTGGTACCCGTGTGTAGTAGTGGTGGTGGTACCCGTGTGTAGTAGTGGTGGTACCCGTGTGTAGTGGTGGTGGTGGTACCCGTGTGTAGTAGTGGTGGTGGTGGTATCCGTGTGTAGTAGTGGTGGTGTTACCCGTGTGTAGTAGTGGTGGTGGTGGTATCCGTGTGTGGTGGTAGTGGTGGTACCCGTGTGTAGTAGTGGTGGTGGTGGTACCCGTGTGTGTAGTAGTGGTGGTACCCGTGTGTAGTAGTGGTGGTGGTACCCGTGTAGTAGTGGTGGTGGTACCCGTGTGTGGTAGTGGTACCCGTGTGTGGTAGTGGTGGTGGTACCCGTGTGTGGTAGTGGTGGTGGTACCCGTGTGTAGTAGTGGTGGTGGTACCCGTGTGTGGTAGTGGTGGTGGTACCCGTGTGTGGTAGTGGTGGTGGTACCCGTGTGTGGTAGTGGACCCGTGTGTGAGTAGTGGTGACCGCGTCTGCGACACCTGTACGCTGGAGGTTCCTGCAGTCGAACCCGGGTCCCGGTAGCAGCACGGGGCGCCTGGTCCCGCTGGTCCCCCTGGGGGCGCCTGGTCCCGCTGGTCCCCCTGGGACCGCTTTGGTCTCCCTTGGGCCCCCCGGATCTCCCTGGTCTCCCCGAGTCTCCCTGGTCTCCCCGGGTCTCCCTGGTCTCCCCGAGTCTCCCTGGTCTCCCCGGGTCTCCCTGGTCTCCCCGAGTCTCCCTGGTCTCCCCGAGTCTCCCTGGTCTCCCCGGGTCTCCCTGGTCTCCCCGAGTCTCCCTGGTCTCCCTGGTCTCCCCGAGTCTCCCTGGTCTCCCTGGTCTCCGTCTCCCACGCCGCTGCTACTGCTGCCGCTCCTCTCTTCTCTCTCCGAACTCTGCCTCTCGCAGGGAGCGCGGGGAGGCGGCACCGCGAGCCCCTCCCCCCTCTCCCCTCCCCCTCCTCCTCGGCTCCTCCTCTCACTCGTCCAGTCTCCTCCTCCCCTGCCTCCTCCCGCCCCTCTTTCTCAACATCCTCTCCCCTCGCTCTCCCCCCCGCCCAGCCCCGGCGCTTTCGTCCGCCACTGAGCTCCAAAGCCGGAGGGGAGTGCGGTGGATGAAGACTCGGAGCGTGCGGCACGAGAAGAATGAGATACAAAAACGGAATTGTTTCCTTGTAGTGGCCACGAGCGGCGTCGTGCGCTGTGCCTGTTGGGTTGTTTTAAAAAAAATGTTGTTTGCATTACCGGTAACCGCATGAAAAAAGCCCGCTTTTAACCGGTTTTCCGCACATAAAGAGATGTTCGGCATGAAGTTATTTTTCCCCAATTACATTCCTTAAATAATTATCAAATAGAGAAAGTCAAGATCTATAAGTATCTTGGGGTCATCCTGGATTTAAAACTGAATTTTGAAGATCACATTGATTATATTGGTAAAAAGTCAAAAATAAAAATTGGGTTTCTGTATCGACACAAGCACTGCTTCTCCCCAATGTTCCGTTTGGAATTGATAAAAGCTACCATACTGCCTCTACTTGATTACTGTGACATCGTGTATACATCAGCCCCAAGTACTGTACTAAAGAAGCTTGATTCTATCCATCACTCGGCCTTAAGATTTACATTGAACTGCCCATATAGGACTCACCACTGTGATCTCTACATTGGGTCAAACTTAACATCCCTTAATGTTCGACGGCTTGTGCACCAGATCTTATTTATTCACGATGTACTTACAAAAAAAATCCGCAGACTACCTGCTTGATCTCCTCTGTTTCAAAGAACAAATTTGACCTCAGGTCTTCGCTCATTTACCAGCTTCATATTCCCTATTGCCGTACAAAAACTGGAGGAAAGGCCTTTGCTATTGATGCCCCCAGGGTCTGGAATGCTATTGCCAATAAACTGCAACTTGAATCGCTACCAATGAGATCTCTCAAAACTGCTCTAGAGGAAAATTTCGATTTAAAGCTTTCGTGACTGCAATGATTCATCTTCTTTGGTTCTTTCGGTAAAGTCACGTAGAATGAGAATAAAATAATAAATTGATAAAATAAAATAACACAATAACATTCTCACGACGTTTCGGCCACAACACAAGCGGCCTTCATCAGGTGAAGGGGGCGAGACTGTCTGGTAGGACAGCGCTGGAGTGAGAGAGCCACGTTCAGATCACGGCTTTTAAGCTGTGTGAGAGGAACAAAGAGCCTTAGAGTCGCGGCATCTCTTCAGAAAGGTGAGAGACTCGATTAGTTGAGCCTTCTTATCCCGAAGTCTGTTGAATGATCTTAAGGATGTGTGGAATCCCTCCCCGTAGAGGCGGTTAAATTTCGATTTAAAGCTTTCGTGACTGCAATGATTCATCTTCTTTGGTTCTTTCGGTAAAGTCACGTAGAATGAGAATTCATCTTCTTTGGTTCTTTCGGTAAAGTCACGTAGAATTCTCATTGCAGTCACGAAAGCTTAAAATCGAAATTTAACCGCCTCTACGGGGAGGGATTCCACACATCCTTAAGATCATTCAACAGACTTCGGGATAAGAAGGCTCAACTAATCGAGTCTCTCACCTTTCTGAAGAGATGCCGCGACTCTAAGGCTCTTTGTTCCTCTCACACAGCTTAAAAGCCGTGATCTGAACGTGGCTCTCTCACTCCAGCGCTGTCCTACCAGACAGTCTCGCCCCCTTCACCTGATGAAGGCCGCTTGTGTTGTGGCCGAAACGTCGTGAGAATATTATTGTGTTATTTTATTTTATCAATTTATTATTTTATTCTCATTCTACGTGACTTTACCGAAAGAACCAAAGAAGATGAATCATTGCAGTCACGAAAGCTTTAAATCGAAATTTAACCGCCTCTACGGGGAGGGATTCCACACATCCTTAAGATCATTCAACAGACTTCGGGATAAGAAGGCTCAACTAATCGAGTCTCTCACCTTTCTGAAGAGATGCCGCGACTCTAAGGCTCTTTGTTCCTCTCACACAGCTTAAAAGCCGTGATCTGAACGTGGCTCTCTCACTCCAGCGCTGTCCTACCAGACAGTCTCGCCTCCTTCACCTGATGAAGGCCGCTTGTGTTGTGGCCGAAACGTCGTGGGAATATTATTGTGTTATTTTATTTTATCAATTTATTATTTTATTCTCATTCTACGTGATTTTACCGAAAGAACCAAAGAAGATGCTCTAGAGGAGTTGTACATCCCTAGCTGCCACTGCTATTCATTGGCGTAAAATAAAATAAAATGTTTTCTCTCCGGATGACGCTGCAAAGTATTATCTGTATTTTGATTTGGCGTGCCGATCTTAAAGGTGCATTGAAAAAATTGATACTCCGACTGATGCTTCTGTTGTTGTGGAGTAACTCATGCAGCCAGCTATGGCTCTAGGATTTGGTGTTACATGTTATTTATGTAGTTTATTGTAAAAATTCGGTCAGTCCCTATGATCACTGTTACGTTGCAATTATGGCTTTATTTTTTGGTGATTTCGAAAGCGTGTTTTGGTTTGGACATGTTTGTTTTGTTGTAGTACGGAGTTAGACTGATGGCCTTAATCTAAGTTTTCTTGTGGTTGTTGTTGTTTGACTTGCATCCCACTGGGATTTTTTGCACACAGCGTTGGTTTACGGTGCTTTTATCAGGAATATTTTGCTGTTTTTTCATGGATTTTCTGTTTGCAGTCGCATAGTCACTTTAAGATGTTTTCTTGTTCGTGTTTTAGTTTTTTTGTTTGTTGTTGTTGCACCCGATTCAAGAGCCGAATGGCTCACATGGCTATATCAAAATAAAGGAACTGAAAAAAACTGAAACACGTTTAACCCTTTTTAACTGACAGCTGAAATAGGTGGCCGTATTACTGTTTCGATCACCGACTCTATTTGGGGTTGGTGGTCTGGACAAGGCTGAGAGCATTTCCACGCTGTGCAGCGCTCACGTGGCTTGCACGTCAGGCAACACGCACGGGAGTGGTGCCTCCGTGCCTGCCTGCTGTGTGTGAGCAGCAGCAGCAGCATCAGTACCTTTGCGTGTTGCTGTTTCTGTTTACAGCCCGCAGTTTCCTCCCACTGTGATGATGGGTTCTCCCATCATACACACAGGTTTCAATGTCCACGTTGATTTAGTGGAACCAGGCGAGAATTCGAGAAACCAGGATCGGAGTCGAATTCGCGAGAATGACCTGGGGCACCACAATGACAAAAGCTAAACAAATAACTCTTTGGTTTTTTCGGTAAAGTCACGTAGAAATAATAAAAAAATAAAATTTCTACGTGACTTTACCGAAAAAAACAAAGAATAATTACTGCAGTCACGAAAGCACCTAATCAAGTTCTAAACAAATAAGTACAGCAATGAGGCAAATGGCAATCAGAACAAAAGCAGCCGTTGGATTTCAACGAATGAGGGTTAGTTACATTGTGGCAATCACAAAACCAGCATGAATCCAGTGCACAGCTGAACTGTAGATGATCACCAGTGAGGACGAAGCCAGTTGCGTCGAGATATAATAATTGTGAATCGATTTTAAATTGCCATCACGTTGTTTATGGCTTTAGACCACACGGTCATGTTTAGTGGAGCTCACTCTGAGTAGGAAGACGTCAGGCGCTGTCATCGAACCTGCCCGCACGTGTGAGCGCTGCCACGGGTAATGTTCACATTCTCAATTTGAGGTTTCCGCGTCTTTATTCTGTGGTCAGAGACCTTCGCCTCGGGGCTCTGTGATGTAATTTAAGCCACCCTGGGATTTCCACGTGAGGTGGGGCACAGGCGGTAAAGTATTACAACCTCATGTTCGCCACGACTGGGTTGATTCAACGAAAGTAACTATATTTTTTATTTTACCAAGTAAAATCCACTGGCCACAAATGATAGCTCAACGAAGTGCTTTATCATGTGGAAATCAAGAGCATGCCAGATATTCTAAACGCATGTTTCTAAATGTGGAGAGATAAACCGGAGGACCCAGAGAAAAATCCACACGACCACGGGGAGAGACATGCAACCTCTACCTATACCAGGGTCAGGATCGAAGCCACGACCTCCTGTATACCAGGCGATGTAGTGAGCATCTCGCCACATGCATGGTGACACAGATAGACAGAGAGAGACGCAACACACAGAAAGGGCACGGAGACACAGAGACCAGGAGACGCATGCACGTGACGCCCTCGCCAATGTTTGTAACTTCACAATGCGGAGTGTCGCGGAGCGCTCCAGCCCGCATAGCCCCCAACCCGCTAACCCCCCCAGTAGTGGAGGATGTCAGAGATTGCCATGGCAGGGCTGGAGAGACGACTGGAAGTGACGCGGCGTACTGCGTTGGCAGTGGCGCGCAAGGAGAACCAACAACAACGCAACGCATTCGTCAATAGCAGAACTCGACCTGCCGTGGCCTCAAAGGAAAACATAACAGGCGACGTTTCGGACAATGCCCCTTCTTCATCAGTACACAGATCTACAAACGCGTAATTTCCTTTGTAAGGCATTGCTATTGATGGGTTACAGCTCTGCTGTGCCGCTCCCGCCGAAGGCGAACTGCGCCCTGGTGGGCGGTGAGCGGGGCGCGTGGCGCTTGCCCGGACCACGGCTCAGCGGCAGCAGCAGCAGTGCAGGACTCGGTGGGGCCGTGGGGAATGCGGATCGTGACCCGGGACCGGGCCAGCTATGCAGACAAACCGGATTGAGTCAGCAGCGCTCAGAGGCCGACCCTCCTTGGAGCCTTAATGGATGTTGTATTGATATTTACCAGACGTAACACATGGAATGTGCTCTTTATTGATGTAGGGCGCCATTTAAGCTGTCGATTTTCCATCGTAACTTCACTTGCAATTGCATTTGGAAAAAACTGTATTCTGGTTTGTTTACATATTAGTACAGCGGTCATCCTATATCTGTTTGTTTCTGTAGCTTGATTTTGTGATTGTGCTATGATCAGTTTCAACATAATCTTTCACGATCCGACTGGCGCTACAGGGGATTTATTTAACATTGATTTATGTTTCTGCAGTATTTTCGATTTCTCACGTGGCGCAGTTGTTTTTGCGCCGATTTATATTTCATTCATCATTGCTGTACTTTATTTAATTTGTATGCTGTTGTCATTTGGGTGACCCAGGTTACCCTTGCAAACGAGACTCTATCCTGGTCCATACATTGAAATGAGCTTATTTAGAACTGCTTATTGTGCTTAGTTTGTTGTCCTTCCCCCACAAATTAGCACGGTTGGCTACGTACGGTGCGAAAGAAGTTCAACATACATACACTCTCACCTGGTCTCACGAGACCAACGTCACTTGACCTTTACAACCTTGACATCTCAGAACCGCCCCCATCCCCTGGGAAGTTTCACCTCTGGCCACC